AGCGCAGATAGCCCTCGTGTAGCTTTGCGCGAAATTCAAAACAATCCGTTCAACGACACTTTTGGTATTATTTCTCACCCATCACTACAGTATGTGAAATATCTTCTCCGGCATGATGGCTTTTGTCATAAAGTTTCCTCAGATGGTCATCTTACTCAATCAGAGGATTATTTTCGCTTATTGCCAAATGGAGTTTTTTAATGTTGCTTTCCTGTCTAGTAGTCAATGCTTGGGATAAGTCATGGTGCTTTGGTATCTTGGAACGTCTACAATCTTCTGAAATTCTTCTGTAGGGCGGGTCATTTTAGGCGAAATAAGAAAAAGATCTTATTAAAACAACTGGCTTTTGCGTGACCCCACAAAGTCTGCCTTTTACTTTCATCTTTGTTTGTTTGAAGTTATGCACAAAGCTACACAATGGGCTATCTGTGCTCTGCCCACCACGGGTATCGAAACCCGGTTTCTAGCGTTGTAAGTCCTCAGACATACAGCTGTGCCACTGTGGGGCTTTACTTTCATCATCCTGTTCATGCGTTCAACTGCACGATCAACTCCAAAAGTTTCCCATTACTGAATTCTTTTCATATATCAGGGTCACTCTCTTGCAGTACTGTGGAACCGTTTATGCATATTTTACACATTCGATCTAATGCTGAAAGATGTAGTAAATATGAACCCTGTCTGGAGGCTCTGATAAACAAGAGTACTGCTATTACAGTTTCTACGTACTGCTTTGTGGCTTTGAACATTGGAGGTTGGTGATCGTCGAGGATATTAATTTTCCCAATCAGTCCATAGTCTTCTATAAAAGAAAGCAAGTTCCTATAGTTCTCCATAGCTTGATTGGAAACGTTGGACAAGCCGTTACATGCTTGAATCAATAAAAGGAGCTTCAATTTTGCTTTGCAGGGTATGGTTTTCCTTGATGAATTCCTGCATGTACAAGTCGAACAAGGATTGTAGCATAGTGATATGTGCTTCCAGAGACTTTTTCATATGCTTCCCTTTCAAGATTTGTTGAACAGTCCATACATATATGAAGTGATCCATGCATCGTCTATCCCAGATCCTTCTATTGTTGCTCCAGCTGCCCTCAGCATGCAAAGTACAGTTTGGAATACAGCGATTAACAAAATATACTTGTCTTTGTTTTCTGGGTGAAACTCCTTTAATTTATATACACACACACTCATACAGTGCCATGTCCAGAGTTATGAATGTTTTCCTATCTGGTCCAACAACTTTAAATTTATCTTCTGAGCTTGGAAAATAACTGTCAGAAGAGTTGACTATTGAGTTGAGCAGGTGCTGTTATCAGTGGAAATATGTGGACATAAGTTTGCTGTCGCTTGTTGTCAAATGTACGAGAATTGTATGCAGATTAGGATTTTGGGGAGATTTGTGTAAACATCTCCAAAGTCATGTCAATGCAATGGGCCATGTGATATCATTTGTACTGTAAGTGTTTATGGTTTTCTTATTTGTTTGGCAACTTCCAAACTTTGTGTTGTTTTGGGGTTACCATTGATGTTGCATGGTACCAAGTCAGAAATCGTTGTTGATGGGATTGTCCTATAAGGTTCAGAGGGGATTTGATTGAGGTGTTTAAGATTATTAAGAGTATTGATAATATAGATCCATCAAACTCAATAGGACAATGGGCCATAAATTCAAATTTTGGCAGCGTAGGAGTCATCTGAAGTTTAGACAGTATTACTTTCAAACAGGGTAGTTGGCTTTTGAAATGAGCTGTCTTCATGGGTGATGCAGGCAGAAAATTTAACTGAGATCAAGAAAGGATTGGATGAATACATGAGTAGTAAGGGGTGAATTTATGAACATTTTTCCAGCGTTCATTCAGATGGGGGACTTACAAGCTGTAACTGGTTATTAGTATCTGGATCCTCGTTGTGCTTTTACTGAAAAGCTGCTAGCACAGGGGCATTATTATTATTTTTTCTCGTCACATGTATCTTCACTGAAATCAATATTATCAGTCGCAAAAAAAAAGATAAATCTGCATGGAACAACCATGGAAGGAATGTATATGCCACTGTTTTCTTTTATCTATTCGATTATGGCATTAGCAAATTGAGTTTCAATTATTCGAAGAACCCGTTGATATTTAATACAGTGATTTAACTTGTGCAACATGTTAACTTCCTTCTTGTTTCGTGTGAGCTGATGTCTCGCTAGTCCAAGTCCTGTGATCTGAGGATTATCATTCTGATGTCGAAATCTTGGTTGGGTACCTTTTGTTTGGTAAGTGATT